GTAGAGGTCCTCAAACTTGGCCTGGAGACCGCAGTGGGGCTCGGCGCGCGTGTCACGAAGGGGGCCGCCGCCCGTTGTCGAGTTCATGTAGTAGTTGCCCTTCCAGCACGACTCACGGTCCGCATCTTCAATCACAAACTTGGTCGGTGAGCACTGGCACTGGTGGCGCACCCACGAGTTGTAGTACGGGTTGTGCTTGAAGACGATTGTGTACGGCGTCTTCTCGCGGTCCACGGACGCAAAGTCCTTCTTGAGCCAGTCGAGCTGCTGGTTGCGATGGCGGAGCCAGTAGTCAGAGCCAATGTTGTTGTCGCCGAGGATACCCGTGTAGTCGTCGAGGAAGATGGCGTGGATGTTGCCAATCTTCTTCGAGTACCACGTGCGGTGGTCCTTGGACGCATCGGCCGAGATCGGCGTCACAATGTGATTGATGTACGCCTCAAACATCTCCCCCTTGCACTCAGGACGGGTGTAGATGACACCGGTGCCCTCAATGACCTCATGGTTGCCCGTGATACCAAGCAGCGGCACCTTGGAGAAGAGCGGCTGCGTCGCCTCGAGCCACGTGTCCCAATCTTCGTGGCAGCCGTTGGCGTACGACCAGTCGCCCGCAATGATGACAGCATCCGGCGTCGTGCCCTCGAGATCGCTGCCAAGGTTCGAGATCGTGTCCTGGATGTGCTCGATGCCGACATCACCAACGACCGAGAGCACCGTGGGCTTGGACGCCGCAGGGATCGACTTGAAGGTACTGGAAAACTCCTGGACAGCGTACGAGTAGTGCGCACTGGGCACCAAGTTGCAGAGCATCGCCGTGTGGAGATTGGGCGACGTGTACGTGTAGTTGGTGTTCTCGACCTTGTACGTGTTGATGGTCGTCATTGCCGACTTGTCCGCGTTGCCAACGCCGTACTTGACCGTCAACGGCGTCGACGCATCGCTGGCAAACGTGACCGCAACACCGTCCTTGCAGCCGACGGCTTCGGACGAGAGACCGACGTGGACTTGCGAGACTTTGGCGGTGGCACTGGTGAAAAGAGCGAGGCCAGCGAGACACTTGGAGAGCTGCATCGTTGCGGCAGAGGAGGCAAAATGGGAAATGAAGAGCATGGCGACCAACGAACATAGCTCTAGTGCCTTCTAAACGTATTAGGCTAGCAACTTTAGCGGTTTTACTACTAGCGTTCGGGTAGCATATGCCATGTCAAAACGTCGTTGGGCTTGGACAGGTAACGTACGGTATACCACTGCTCCAGGATGCGAGTCGTTTAGGATAACTTGGGAAACCACTATTGTGGTCCGTATCGAGGCTTTGTCCAGAGATCTGAACGCTCGCGGCGCCACGTATGTGTTTGTACGTTGTGGCACGGATGCGTCTATCTTGATCTATGTATATCAACGAATCTTCGGCCTTTGGCAACAAAAGTGAAAACAGATGTCTTCACGCCAACCAATCAAAAGACGTTTTTCGGATCTTGGTCGCAAGTTGGATCGCTCGACATCCGACCACGGCGTTTTGTGAGCAGGTACTCAATGAATTTGGATCTTGTGGGATCATCCAAGTGACATTAGACTTGGTACTAGTTTATAGCACTTGACGGCAACGACAGCTATTCCATGTCCAAGGTGCGGGTCAATGACACGTTTACCTATTTATCGATCGCGCAAGTAAAGGAGAATACACGACCACGTCGATTCAAGCACGTTATCCAAGCTCATCTTTCAATCGCAATATACGCTACGTTTTAGCAGCTCTGCATGTAGAAAAAACACTATAGAAATTACAACGTAGCGGGACGATATCAGCGCAGCTGCCCTGGGCTCACCCTTGCACGCAAGAGGAAGCGACAGAGCCTCACGAGGTGCGATGGGTGCCGTCTTGCGACGGTGCAGATTCGATTTCAAAAGCCCAGCACTTGTCATACACAGCATCCAATTAACGACAGGTGGATGTTGGCTACTTCACGATCCCCTGCAAATATGAATCTCGGCCACAAGCGCGCGACAGAAGCTCCTACGGTACTAGCGATGAGCGATAAAGACGTGAGCTTGCCGGCGCTGTAGATTTCCTGTGTCCTAGAAACGGTATGGCGAAAAATCTCCGAAGGTAACCACACGCGACTGGGCCTGTAACATCATCATGTGTGCTGCAACGACCTTACACGGAACAAAATTGTGGGTTTGCAGTCTTGTGCTATGCAATATTCTTGTCGTGCGCGTTAATATCGTGTGTCACAAAACGTGTGGGCGGAGATAGCCTGTGCCGCCGTGGCCCTACACTGCCATCCATCCATGCGAGCTCCGTGTATTATTTCGGGACGTGTAGTCGCGGTTTGCTACGAATAGGAAGCGCCCGTCGAGATCGTTCTCTTCTCGCCGTGGGCTACGAAAATTCACTCGGCAGCTACAGTGTACAGTATGAGAGACGAACGCTGAACGTTGCACATTGGTCCCCGGAGTTATTACCACGGGCACATGACCATTAATCTTGAAGATTAGCGTCCTGTTATAATTGATGACGTCATGACGGCGATGACTTTGGCGAGATGCGTTGCTTTCGAGACTGCGGGAACTTATCGTTTTGAGCCAACTGTTGAACACTGTTGTCTCTATGTTCTCGTCACCTTTCCAGCACGATGGTCGAGAATGGTGTTGATACCGTCATGGCTGACCACAGTTGATCTGGCTGGCTTTGCGAACGAGTATGGCGTTTCTCTTGGCAGCAGGCACTTGGCAGCGAGAGTGCCACGTCGATCCCTGGGACCCAGGAAGGGGCCCTACATAAAAGCAGACAAACCTCTTGCATTCGATACAATATGTTTTCATCGAATACAAGAGGTGTGGACATGGTATGTCCAGAGGTTGCAGCAAGGTTGCAGTGTGGCCAGATCCGACCAACCACATAGCCGTGCGCGGTGGTCGTTCACTCTGGCATCAAGCTGACACAAATTGCACCGTGTTCAAGCTGTAGCGGACTTCTCGAGCCACTCATCTGCGTTGGATGATCTTGTCGGCCGTGCTAGACAAGTACCAGCAGTAGTGCTCGCCCCGGCTACATCACCACGAAGCACAACATTGAAGGTAAGGTCCGGTCTAGCGTCATCTGCCTATTTGACAAGAATCGGGAAGAAAAAATGAAGCGCACGCGAGCCATCGGGAGCCGGAACATCCCGAACCAACCGGAGTTGGTCTTGCGATACAAGTACCATTTCAATGCGGCAAACAGCGAGCACGTTCGCGCAACGATGCTGATCGTCTGATTTGCGGCAAGCGAGCTGATCTGATCACGAGCGCAGCATCCGGATCACTTGCTGTTCGTTCGGATCATTCGACTGTTTGTTCTGATAAATCTGCCGAATTTGTGATCACA